AGTCTGTTGTGCAGATTTTAAACCCTCCATGACTTCAGTTTTAATATCTCCCATAGTTAGCCATGATGGTCTTGTGGAAACAGTTTGAAGACCTTATCTCAATCCTGATGTGGTTTTACAAGACTGTCTGAAAAGAAGCAGTTGCTATTTAGGATGAATGCGGTGACAGGCCTCAGTTTAAGGAAGATCAAATTTCTGGACCAAGTCCTGCTTTTATTATTAGTAAAAACCTGTAATGGCTAATAAAAATATTGTTATTATTTCAATTTTTTTCCCTTCAATTTTGAAGGCCAAAACCTCGTATACCTTTGAAGAGCACTTGTGCAGGACCATGCTCTCAGAGGTCAGGGGTTTTTCACTGCTTGCAGAGTCCCCGTGGCACCTAATCTTCTGGGGTAACAGGTTTCTGTGTGTTATTGCACAGGAAGAGTTTATGGAGCACAGGTTGCTGTCAAGAGGGAAGACAGAGAGCCATAAAGCATCCCTGACCTCTTTGTTTCATTGCTTTGCAATTGCTGCTGGAAATAAAAAGCAAACCCCAAACTTCTTTCAGTTTTGTGCAGATCTCCAAGTTCTAGAGAGAAAAATCTGTTTCTGTCCAGGGCTAGAAGCAGCAGGGAAGTGGTCTTGGATGGGTGCATCCTTGCTTCCCTTTTCATCCAATTGGGAATATTTCTGTTTACAAGTTCAAGGCGACGCTGTCAAAAGAGTTTAGGTTTCAAAAGTTAACTTAGTGTGTATGGAAGAATTTTTGTCTCCCGTCTCTTGGTAATCAGGATTAATGGGACTCCAGTTAACATCTTAATATTATTGCTTGCTCTGCAATGTGTACAGAGATGTGAAATATGGATATGTTTTACTTTCTATTGTTTTAAAATTCTTGGTTTTTCTTCATCCAGTGTGCCAAGTCAGATGCTGCTCTTTAAACAAAACCCATCATTTACTTTCAGAGGAACCTTGTGTGTGTGTCAAAATGTGAGGAGCTGCAATCTGCTGGTACAAATGTGATAACTGTGTGATGCAGTGGCTAGTGGATCCATGTTGCACTTACACTTGTCCAAAGAAAAGCAGATTTTAGGCAAATAATACTTTATTCTTCTGTTTATATAGAATCATATTTAGCTTGGAAAAGACCTCTAAGATCATCAAGTCCAGCCATCAACCCAGCTCTGTCAAGACCACCACTAAACCATGTCCCTAAGTACCACATCTACACATCTTTTAAATCTCTCCGGAGGTGGTGACTCCACCAGTTCCTTGGGCTAGTCAAGCAAGACCTGCCTTTCTTAAACCCACGCTGGCAGGGCTTGATCCTCTGGTTGTCTGAGAAGCGTGTCACCGTGTCCAAGCAGAGTGTCTCCAGACTCCCTTCCCTAAGGAATTAGGAAACATAGTTCAGACCATGGGACAAACTTCTTAAAATGTCTTGTGAGGCAGTCTCTCTTGGGCGTCAATAGAAGCAGGAAAAGGATGTCCTATAACGAGAATATTGTGATACGCAAATATAGGCTGTGTATTCAACACAAAAGATTACAGCAGCATGCAATTGTACACCCAGCAGTTTGGGAGATGAGGAGGACAAGCAGTGTTTTCATTGACAGCTCTTGATATGAAATTGTGAGGAGGTTTTATAGTGGGCAACAGCCAGAACTCAAAAGTACTCCAGAGGCTTGTTTGGGTGCTGTAGCTGTGGGATTGGCTGTGTTTGGGCGTCTTGTCTATGAAAAGGTTCCAACTGTATCAAATAATCCCCAGTAATCGGCAGTTCATCTCTTGGACCATCTCCTAGTGCCCTCCTTTTGGTGCTCTTCCTTGAATTTGTTGAAAGCTTTGTGATGGCAATTACAACCAGATGGTGAAATAACCCGTTTGATGTGTCAAAGCCGTCAGCTGGCAGAGCAACAAAATATATATCACTTCTCTGAAAAATAAAATGGGTTTGTGTTTAGGGAAAAAAGAGCAAGTTTGAGGAGTATTTTCCTCTGTGCTGGGCACTGGGCAGTGTTTGGCAAGGGTGGGTGTTTGCTTGGGAGGAACCATCAAAGCAACTGGAAGCCCTGAGGTCCATGTGTTGGGGCTCTACCAAGCTTGTGTGTTTGAGAGCCCTGACTGATTGCTCCCAAATAGATTTTCAGCACAGGATAACTCCTTTTTTGGCTGTGTTATTAACTGCTATTCATTTAATTTGGAAATGTAGGGAGCGTACCTTTTGGTACTTGGCTCCTCTGCCTCTAAAGGACACATCAGGTGCAGATTGGGCTCTTTTTTGGGAAAAGAAGGAATTACATATATAATCCACAGGGCCAGTTACTTTGTCTTCTTAAAATTGTAAATAGCTGTAACACTGTCCTTAAATTTTATTTTCCTCTCTCTTCAAAAGATGTTTCAGTAATTCATCAGTGGCCTGGTAAATTTCTTCTTTAGCTGTCTCAGTATGGAGGAAGCAAGACCATGAACAGTCCACTATCAAATTATCCTGTCCTAGCAATGAGATGGCGTTTTCCCCTATTTTTATTAAACCCAAGCAAAATACATTATATAAAGGCAAGTGTCAATAAGACCTTCCTTTACATTCTCATTTACTTTAGTGAGCACTGGGTATTGTCATTACTATCACCCCTTTTAGGCAGAAATTATCCAGTTACAGGTTGTTGGGAATGCTGGCAGAGCATTGTAGAAACTAAATTGCTTTTTATAAAGCTACTGTATGTCATCATCTTCCTGTAATTTTAAGACTCAGAAAACAGGGGCTATGTCAGTGTTCATCTACACTTGGTGATGACTTTCCCAGTACAGGAAGAGGAGGAGAAGAAATCCCCATGGGGAAATCCTTCTGAAATGGGTGTGTTTAGGCGTGCAGGGGTTGTCCCATAACAGTTTCATGGGAAGTAGAAATCAGTTCTTTGGGGAATTGATTCTCTGATGTGGAGAGCCTTACTGATCGTGCAGGCTCTTTACATGTGGAACTAAAATATATATATAAGACTTTTTAATTTTATTTGCTTCTTCTTGTAGCAATCTAAAAATTCCCACAGAATAAAACCAGACAAACAAAAAACCGTGAGGAAGAATTTTGTGATCTATGTTACAGTTTTTCATTGGTAGACCAGTTGATTTTCTTCACTTGCTAAAACTTTCCAAGTCCTGAACATCCAAGTAAGCACTGCATATGACTCCATACACACACCCTCATTCCTTGGTGGATATGAGGAAAAACATGCAGTGATTCACAGCAGGCTCAGTATCTACTTTAGCAGTGTTAGCCATACCCATATTCCTTGTTGGTTCAAAAGAGTAGCAGCAAACCCTGCCAAAATATACAAATACAGTATTAAAACCCAAGTTATCAGTGTTTCACAAACAAATGAAACCATTGTACTGTTGTTGTATGTGCCTTTTGAGAGAGCTGTTATTTGGAGATCAACACAGGATGGCAAGTAGGAGCCTTGGGTTAATGTTGCTTACTTAACAGAGTTAATCATTGCTTTATCAAATGGTAACCATCTTCTAAAATGTGGTCCCGAGAGTAACACTACAGAAATGCCAGAGGGAAGTTCCAGTCTGTTTGTTTGTGGCTGCAAGGGTGGTTTTTACTGGTTAATGAATCCAAAGAGTGTTTGTGTGCTCTTAACTGGGGTTTAAGAGTTCAGGTAATTCCTCTTTCAGCTCCAGTAGTTTGGCATAAGAATGTAATTCAGAAATGTGTGACATCGCAGTGAAGGAATTCGTGCACAATGCTGATACTTTAAGAGGGACAAGAGTATGAATTTTCTTTTTTCCTGTTTGGTCTGTGTCTAAATATATATACTTGCAGTAAAACACAGTACCCTGTAGTGCCTTACTTTCCCCATTTCTCAGCAGAATGCATAAAAGAGACTTTTAGCCATTAATCTTAAGAAAACATTATGTAAAACCAACATTGAGGTGTTGAGGTGATGCTGTTCTTGTGCAGACGAAGAAGTGAGATTTGCTGTGCAGTGCATTACCTTCCAGTGCAGTCTGTTCCCGGCTAATTCACACAGTACAATTGATTTCCCAGCTGGTAACTCATTTTGCCATTGTTACTTCTGTGCTTGTACTTGCACTTTGAGGTCGGCAGGCTGGCTCAGGCTGTGAGATTCCCAGATTATGGATGCTTTCCCAACTGGCAGAGCACAGGGGCAGAGTCTCTATCTGGTAGAACAGGAGGAGGCAGTTGGTGTGTCGCGCTTGCGTTTGGTGATGTGTGTGTAGCCACAACCTTTCCTGTTGTGGTAACCAAATGATGGCCTGAGGTACCCTGATGACTTTGATTTGGCTAATAAAATCTCCCACACAGCATTTAATAAACTAAAGCCCAACCTGGGCTTTTTCTCCTTTTGACATTTAATCCACTATAACTGCTCTTTCCAGGTGTGCTTTGTAGGCCGGGTTTATCCCTATGGATGAATCTACTGAGTAGGCTTTTCCCCAGAGAAGGAAATCAGCCTGTGGAAAAGTGCAGGCAGCCCAGAAGGGTTTGGCAGAGATTTGCTGGCTTCATCTGCTGGCTATCATCTGCCATCATCTACTTATGGTGCTGTTGTTCCTTTTAAAATACCTTGCCATAAAGGAGTTCACAAAGAGTTTGATGAAGTCTGGGAGGGGCTGTGTTGATGGATACAAAGGACTTAAGGCCAGCTTAGTGGTTTGTGATGCAGTGGTGGACAGCAGATCAACAGCTTTGGGGATAAACCAGATAGCAAGACAGCAGCAAATACAAGTCAGCAGCACAGTTATTCTTAGGTGGTGCCAGATGCCCATATAGATAGCCCTGTACAGTGTGGTCATTGCCCCGTGTGTGCTCGTGGAACCACATGGGACTGCCATGGGAGGCAACAGGTGCCTCCTGTACAGCCTGCAAGGTAGAGGATGGTTTCCATCCCCCTTGGTGAAGGTGTTGTGATGCCAGTTTGTGTGTTGGAACCCCAGCAGCCATGATGACCCTTGCACTTGATGACTCCTTCTTCCCTCTCTTCCAGGAGCTGAGTGTTGTGACCTGCCCTGCTCCTGCCCGCTTGGTGTGGCAACGACCTGAAGGACGTCTTGGAGCCACCTGTACTGCTTCATGCAGTTAAAGTAAGGTTAAATGTTTTTTGGCAGCTCTTTCAGGCAGAAATGAGGGTTGTTGAGGTGAGGGGTTTGGGAGAACAGGTTTACCCATTGCCAAACCATTTGTCAGGCTTACCCTTGACAACAGGGGAGCATGTTGATATCAAAGCACATGTTATAAGCAAATTCAGAAAGTTACTTTGCCGTGAAATACAGTTTATTTGTGGTGGAAACAGAAAAGAGATGTGTGGTCTTGCCTCTTGTATCAATCATATGCCATAGTGTAAAATAGCACTTAACAGCATCAGCTGTTTTTCCCTAATATTTTAAGATACAGCTTTCATGTCCCTCAGCAGGCACATGGTTACAGCCCAAGGATTTCCATGGGAGGCAGTCAGGATCAGAGCTGAGGTCCTGCCAGCTGCTGGTGGGATGTGCCTCCCGGTCGGCGCAACGGCTGTCCCTCTGTCTGTCCTGGAGCAGTCATGTTGTTGAGGCTTCTGCGTTTGTTTTTCAGTTAACAGCAGCTTTTTCATGTGGTGAACCAGACCAGGGGATGGATCTGACCTAAAAACAAGTATATGGTTATTGCAATACTGAGTAGCTGTTTTGACTCATGGAGTTACACCCATTCTCTCCAAAATGACTTGAATTTGCAAGAAGTATTAGCTTGAAGCAAAGAAACTCTTAGAGTCTTGCCTGGAAATGGGTGCTTGTCATGTTTGAGCTCTGTCAAGGGAAGAAGAGAGGACAACCACGGGAAGCTGCCTCTTCTTCTCCCACTGTCCCTAACCTGTTTACCTTCTGCAGTGCCTCACATTTTCCATGGTCTTGCCTGGAAGACCAGCACTTTAATAATACCAAGTCCCAGTCGTTTGGCATTACTGAGCTGTGGCAACAGCTGGGTGGATTAATCATAAAATGCTGTTACTGTAGAGACAAGTATTTATTGTAATTGTTTGGCTTTACTTTATTCAGTGGGGTTGAGCAGGGGAATTACACCTATTTTCAGACCTTGGGAAAGAAATGAAGTCTTTGGCGAAATTATGAATGAAACCTGCTTTATCAGGAATAAATGTCTTGCTTAGAGCTGGTCACCAAGTTCATCGTGTTTAAAGAAGGAATGCAGAGAAGCAATTTGTGGCTTTATTTGTCACAGTGTTTCTTAACTTTCTGCTGATTTTGGAAGCGTGGTGAACTTGCAGCAAGCAGTGCTTGATGCTGAGAAAGATGCCAGACCCTTCCTGGAGGTGATCAAGGGGATGATTTTTGCATGGCAGTAGCAGCAAAATCTCTGGGGAGGCCCAGCACAGGCAGCAAGAGCTTCTCACCTGAAGTCCTGCCTGGGAACCAGCCTCTGCATCACCTCTGTTTTTTGGGTGTGCCTCCTGTGAAGAATCTGGGAAAACAAAAAGGCTAAACTGGAGTTCAGGAGCAGCATTCTCATACCCTTTCCTTTTCCTGCCTGCTGGTCTAGTATTTCCATAATTGGGCCTATAATGATAATCTTTTCATTTCATTCATAAAGTGGTTACTGCTTAATGAACTTCATGTTAATGAGCTCTGTAACATTTAAAATAGCTGCATAACTTGAAAAAAAAAAGAAAAAAAGCCATCAGCAATAAGGGACGGATTTCCACTCCCTGAGCTTAATCCTGTGTTATAATTGTGGAGAGGTGCCTGGCTGGCGAACAGCTGCACAGCGTGGGCTCTCCCTTCTGCAGAGCTCCTTGTCCCCGAGCTGGGGTAATAAATGACTTAATGGAAAGGCTGGGTCCTGTGGGCACTTAACCCATTCCATTCCTGGGGGACCAGTGTGAAAGGCCACTCTGTAAGGCAACGGAAAGAAATGATTTCAGTTGTGAAGCGAGGTGTCTGCTAAGTTTGTTTTTTGAGTATGAGTGAGCTGTAGAAAGGTTCAAACGCAAAAGGTGGGGTAGTGGAACTGGGTACAAACTGTGGTTATTTAGATTTTTATTATTTGATGCTTTAATTTATTTAAAAATTGGATTTGAACGAGTGTTTTCCCTTTTCTGATCTGGGGAAGTAATGCATTTTGTTGCTTGGGGTTTTACTTTCTGTAGGGCATTCCCTGGATGCACTGTGTAATACAGTGTCCTGGGAAGAGTTACAACTCTCATTTTTCCTCTCTGGGAATGCCACACCAAATAACTCCATCATTGCACTCATTAGGTGAATGATGTGCGTTTTTGAGGCTGTTGTGCTTCAGAAAGGATGTGCAGCAAAATGAACATATTCTGTCACTACCTAAAGTATCCGTTCAGAGAAGAACATATTCCCATAGTTTTTGAGTTGAAAGAAGAGGACAATTATGAAGCAACAATTTGTAATTTTGCAGTGGCAGATGTGGTTGTGCTGTGCCACAGGGAGTGAGGCTAGCACAGGTACTCCTGTAGGAAACCCAAAGTTTCTAGTGAAGTTTTCCTCTTCTGGAAAAAAAGTGCCAACCAGGCTTTTCCTGAGTAAGTCTGTGATGCCTGGAGCCCCAGTGGGAGCATTTGCAAAAGGGAGCCTAAAGGGAAAAGTGAATCTGATTTATTCTTTAGAAAGGAAGAATACATTAAAATGTTGGGCACTTGAAGCTGCTTTGGTCAAAACATGAGTGGAAACATCTCTTGGATCTTGGTCTTGATGCCAGTTTTTCCAACTCTGTGGCTAGAACTCTCTGCTGTGGAGAGTTAAGGTTGGTGCATGCACTTATTGGGTAACTACCTGGTTTGTAAATGCTAGGAGATATTTAATAATATTTGTCATCATAAAAGCATGCATGATGCTTTGGGTGTCATGGATTCTTTTGTACTCCAAGCCTGTGGTTTTGGGAATGCAGTACAAGTGCTGTGGTTTGGGGAGCACAGAGAGAAGCACAGCCTTATTGCTCAGCTCTAGGGTTTGGGGGTATTATTTCTTTCACTGAAGCCATCATTACTCGGTGTAGTTCCTAAAACAGCACAGCCTTGAGAGCCAGAGAATAATCAGGTTGTTTTTAGGAGACATGCTATAGTCAAGACCTTGTTGGAATCAATAGTTGACCGCTTTGCTCTCTCCCACTACATGTGTAAGGCTGTAGGCATTTTGTTGCTAATGACAGCTGTCCATGTTTATCCTTTTATACCTGGGGTGAAACACTCTCCAAAGCCTTTCTTCCTTCCCTACCATTCTTCACCTGGTCCCATGCTATGCATCTCTGTTTTCAAAGGTAACTAGTAACTTGTGTGATGCTGCCCAGCCTGATACCTGGGGGTTTTCATGAAGTTCCTGGTTAAACCCCCAAAGTCAAGATCACTCTTACAAACCTGAGCTGGTTGTCACTGAGAGCTTCCCCACAGTTTACTGCCAAAATGTGTTTTTAAACGGCAAAGTATATTGGAAGGTATAAACTGAATTTTGCTCATTTGAAGAGGCAGCTAGAATGTCTGCTAAGGATTTCTGAAAGTTAATATTTGAGCCTGAGATAAAAGTCTCATGCATACGTGAAACAGCTGCCCCAGAACCTGTTGGAGGACTTAATTTGAGTATAAACATATGTGTGCTTTTGCGTACATGGTGCTCTTTAATTCAAGCTGACTGTTAGGTCTTAACTTTATTAGGATGTAGCTACTTGAGCTGAAGATGTGGTCTGTGATTTTTATTTTATTAGAGCAGCATGATAGCTCCTTTTGAAATGTTGTTTGGATTTTACAAATAGGTATCTTAAGTATTGTTTGCCTTTAGTAATATGGTAAAGGAAAAAAATTGACAAGCGAGGTCAGGGTTATATCAGATTACAAGTGAATTGGTTGACAGTATATGTGTATTGTAAAGTGGGAAATTAATCACTCTGTGTTGATGACCCATGGACATTTACAAAAGGCTGGTCTTTCTGTTGCACAAATAGATTCCGGAAACAGGAAAGAGGCTTATGACAAGAGGATGAGATCAGTTCGTATAATTAGAGCTGGCTAATAATCCTTTTACTCTGTTTTTCCAACTTTTACAATATCTTACTTTATTTGAAATTGGGCACATGAACTGTAGAGAGAGAGCTGCTGTGATTTGGGTTGTGTAGGTTTGTATTTTGTATCTTCTGATAGCTGGAGAGATGGGAGCAGGAAAACCAGATGTGCACTTTTGAGAGGGATCTCTGCCTTCCTCTGCCAGGCATAGGGGACAGCACTACTTTTATTAACCCTACACTGCTTCATCTCTTTCCAGGCTTTGGGCAGGAATTAAGTAATCCATTAAAAGATATTTTTTTGACAGTTATGAGATTGAAATAGTGCAAAAGAAGGAAGTGCTGAGACTAAGGTTATTTGACTACGTAAGACAGGGCTGGCAGAGCTGGGTTAGAGACTTGCTATAGCATGGATAAGGCTTAAGCATATTTTTTTAATGCATGTGTGTACTATCTGCTTGCCTGTATCTTAACTTTTTGTTAAACTTCATTATTTTGGGAAGGATAACGGGAAAGATTTGGGTAAGGGAAGTAGTGTGGCCAGGGGGGTTGGTTGGAGCAGAGGTGGGTGCAGCCCCTGGGCAACCCAGCTCCCAGCCCAGGAAATGTGTGGTGCCAGTTCCTGCTGCCAGGAAGCTGAGCTACATTAAGCAAAGAGAGTTAATCAATATGCAGAGCATTTTATTAAATCATCAGTCAATTAAACCAGTGACGCTCTGTTAGGTTGTGCTGCAGTGAGGCTCCCAGCCCCTCTGCAAGTTGTTCAGCACTTGCAACTCCTTGGTTCCTGATGGATGGCCTTTTGTACCTGAAGGCCACAGTACTGAGGTTTTCAGCACTGTTGAAAGGGAAAAAAAAAAAAACCCAAAAAAACCAAACACATTTTAGGCTAATTTTGCAATTAAATATGTTCTTTTTATTTTTTTTTCCTAGAGGGAAAACATTATTGTGAAGTTTTCTTTTTGTGAAAGGAATCTCTATATGTCTGGTTTTCTTGAGGATGGCTTACTGGGTTACCTCTGAGCCTTTGGAGGAGAGTGATGGTACACAAACACCTTTGAACCTCCTTTCCATC